GTCAAACATACGGTCCGCGGGCCGTTCATCAGGCCCACAGGATAATTTAAAAGTGAAGAAAATGCATAAAAGACACAGAATAAATATTTTTAATAAGGTGCAATTCATTGAGTATCCGCTAGGGGACACTGTTTTGATCAGAGAAGAAGACAACAGCAGCCTCAGTCCATCACTCCTTTTAACATTGATGCACTGTTGCAATGCAGAAATGCAAGTTGTGTTATGTATCAGTTCTCAAGCACGACAGTTTAAACCAGGGGTGTCAAACGTACGGCCCGCGGGCCGGATCCGGCCCGCAAAGGACTTTAATTGGTTTAAAACTTCCTTTCTTTATAAATCTCGTTTAATCTTAAAATGCATTACTATATTTTTCAAAACCAATTACTTGTTAAAGTTTGTACAATCAGTGGGATCAGTTGCAATGCATATATGTGAATGATAAAAGTAAATTGCACATTTGTCGAAGGAAATGTAAGGTGCTTCATGAAATGTTTTGTAAAAGATATGTTCATTTAATTTCAACATTTTCCTAATGTTCTTGTGCTTATTTATACCAAAACAAAGGAAAGACATTGTTGTGGTTATTTATCGCAAAGTATGGTATCATTTTAATGGTCCGGCCCACTTGACATCTACCCAGGCCGTATGTGGCCCACCATGTGAAATGAGTTTGACATCCCTGGTTTAAACATTATCATATGGGAGTTGACCAACTGCAAAGGCCTTATGTGAGATCAGATTCAAATGAACATTTCCCATTATGATAACGCACAGTGACAGCACACTGATAAGAAGTACTTCCTGATCTCTTTTTTTTTTCTTTTTGATTTTTTTTTTTTATTTATTTTTTTTTTTGATGCATCATGCTTTATCAAGTGGGAAAAAATCCAGTTCTTCCTGTGTGGGAGATAATCTTACAAAACCATCCAAAATTAGGAACAGGGCAACTAGCATTTCATTTCACTGAATATACTAACAGTAGATGCTGTTAGTTTTAGCCACGAAGATAAGAAGCGGCATTTTAATACCCAAGAATCATAATGTGTCCTAATGTACACTACAGTTAAGCTTGCATTTTAATGACACTGCATTGCAGTTCAGATGCTTCAGTGTTTGCATCGACTCAGGAATTGTGTGTATAATCCAGTATCCCTCATTAGATGATTGACAAATCCTGCACAGTAGTACAGATTACAGCTGCTTCTCAATCAAGTCAATCTTTGCCTCCGCTGGCATGATGCTTGTTTGTGGCGTTGCGCATCTTTCTGTCTTTCACACATACAATGAGTATTGTCTTTGTATTCACAGTCGGGCATTCACAAATTCACAGATTTCCTTTGCAACCTTTCCTCTGTTTTCCAATGAAAATCATATTTTCTGTTTTTGTACTCAGGCCAAAGAAATTAAAGTATGGCAGGATCTGGTGGAAAGGTGGTGGTGGTGTTTGGTTTGATACATTGACAGTGGGGCGTTTTTGTTTTTGTTTTTTTCCTTTGAGCTGTCCTCTTTTGTTGCCATTCATAGAATGCATCTTACGCTCATTCAAAAGTGAAACTGATGTTGCTGCTTCTCGCCCGTTTTAACATCTCACAGAGATAAACTGATTAGTGGTGCAAAACCATACTATGACGGTTGTGCCATTGGTGCAGATAGTCGCACCATTTTTTAAGTGACCCGTGTCAATAATTGTAGTACAACTTTGGGTGTGCAATTATACAGAAAGTCATTGTGCATGTGGCTGGTGCTGTGGAATATTGATCAACGACAATTGTTCAAGTATATAGATGATCAGTGCGGTAATACGGTTCCACGTGGTTTTGCAAAAATGCAAAGAGACACGAGAGATTTGAGTTACTCTTTATGGAGTCAATGGTAAGAGGGAAGAAGCTTTTCAAATGTCTGCTGGTTTTGGTGCGCATGGTTCAGTAGCGCTGACCTGACTGGAGTAGCTGGAAAAGGTGGTGGGCAGGGTGTGGGGGCGTCCAGTAGGATTTTCCGTGCCCCTGTCTTGGTTATAGCTGTGTGCAAGTCTTCGATAGTGTGTAGGGCAGTACCATTGATTTTTTTCCGCAGTCCTAACTGTCCGTCGCATTCGGATTTTGTCCTTTTTTGTGGCGGCCCCGAACCAGCCTGTGATGGAGGAACACATGACTGATTCCATGACTGCTGTGTAGAACTGTCTCAGCAGCTCCTGTGGCAGGCCGTGCTTCCTCAGTAGCCTCAGCAAATACATCCTCTGCTGGACCTTTTTCTGGATGGAGTTAATGTTGGCCTCCCACTTCATGTCTTGAGAAACTGTGATTCCCAGGAATTTGAAGGTCTCGACGGTTGACACAGGGCAGTTGGATAGTGTGAAGGGCAGCTGTGGCGAAGGATGTTTACTGAAGCCCACAATCATCTCTCCAGTCTTGAGCGTATTCAGCTCCAGGTTGTGTTGGCTGCGCCAGAGCGCCAGCTACTTCACTTCTTGGCGGTACACAGACTTGTTGCTGTCTTTGGT